TATCACTCAAAAATAAATCTACCACTACTATAAATAAATCAACGACTGCGCGAACCATCAATAAATCTACCGATCACAAAATTAACTCTACCACCACTAGAAATAAGTCTAGCGATCACAAAATTAACTCTACCACTACGAGAAATAAGTCTACCATATATTATAAATCTACCACTACTATAAATAAGTCTACCCTTGCGCGAACCATCAATAAATCTACCATCACATGAATGGTAGACTTATTCGCTGCCTCATTAATGATATTTTCGTAAATACATTTTTTTCTCTTCAAAGAAAATAAGGTTAAAATGGATATTAATAGTTTTTCAAGGTTGTTTGAGTAATTTTCAAAGAATAGCATCATTTTGGTCAAAAATCAATTTTGTAAAGTTGTTTTAATAAAGCTGCCAAATAAATATTTATGTAAAATAATTAATATTTGTTTTTGACATCGGAAGGCTATCCATCCTATCACTAAGAATGAGATAGTATGACAAGCCACAACGGAATAGAATAACCAACAAAGTTCACTAAGAGAATATGATCTAGTTAGATGACCCAAATGGTTTGCTGGAAGTGTGAGAGTGAGAAGGATGATTACAAGTTTCGGAGATGCGAAAATTCCTTAAGTTTTTTGGAGAAATTTGACCAGTTATCCGATTCCTCAATCATCTGTATCACGTCTTGGTAGTTAGTTTCAAAAATTGGTTGAAGGATGAATGTGTTTAGACACTTCACCACCCAAATAAGCGCCTCTAAATTCGAATGGAGTGGGATAGTCTCCTTGGTTGTGAGCCTCCCGGAGTCTAATTTCGCCCTTCGTTCCGAGCTAAATCCATCCTAGCCCACTATTCAGCACCGTAGGTCTAGGGATTCCTCCCGGTGAGGATCGAGTCAAGGAGTGATACCCAATTGAGCCCATAAGACATATTTATGACACTCATCTCATCTAATATTCGTACAAATATATTATTGGCTAAACTACATCCAAGGTGGAGGTATCATTGGTCTCAAGGAATGATTATGGTGCCTACTGGCATTTGCGGTTTTTAGCTTTCGTTTCATTTCTTTGTTATGTACTGAACTTCTTGTCTTTGCCATGGATCTTGATTATCAATAACAAACTAAAACGTTAAAAACAAAAAAAACACTACATCCAAGGTAAACACAAACGCAAATAGAAAACAATCTTAATTATACGTACCATCTCAATATGTCATTTCTTATTGTCATTTAGGAAAGACATAACACAAAAATAATAGATTATTTTTGGGTT